TTGAGCAGTCAGATATTGTCAGTTGATTGCACAGACCATTTGACCACTCTCATGTAGGCAATTAAGAGTGGCATGAAACAGCCTGGTGTTTTCTTTCATCATGATCGCCCACCCAGTTAATTCCAGAAGCCCACCTTGTCCAATTGACCCTTTGCTTAACTGCTGCTATGCTTGAACAGGAATGTGTAAGACTCAAGAGGAAACATGGAACAAAACCACTAAGGAATCCTTGCAGGGGGATGCAAGGGAATATGCTGTGTACCACCCTGGGAGACCTGTGACCCGAGTGTGGCTGCTAATGGCTCTTTTCTTCCTTTTGTCGTTGGGACCCTTAAGAGAAACTGACTTCCGTAACCAGAGGGTGGGCATTTGGACAGTTCCACAAGAGCCATCACAGTGGCACAAAGCCAGGACTGCTAAGTTAACAGAATCTGACATGGGAGTGGTAGCTGAGTTGGTAGTTCTGCACATCTTCTGTGAATCCAAGGCATGTATACTATGCTGTTCCATACAGTTCTGCCCATTGATCAGAGAGCCATGAAGACAGTTGGCATAGTTCTTTTACCAGGTACAATCAGCGTGCTTGTGCGCTTCTCTCTGAGATGTCTTGCAGCCAACTACCAGCCCAGAGCAGAACTTAAATGATTCCTCCAGCCCCTGCTCATTGTGCCTTAGTCCACTTCTTAGACCTTGCGTGGTGGGGTTGATGAAGGTTGCCCTCGTAGATGAACACACAGTGCAGCAAACAGATTTCATGGTTTCCAAATTATTACAGAATTCATCTCAGGAAGATAATTTGCACATGCTCAAGGGACATGCTTTACTCCTTTTCTCAGGATAGTGGGAGTACATGGTAGCATCTCCGCTCTAGGAACTTCTGGGTGAGAAAGATTATCTACATTCATTTCAATCTGACTTCAGTCCTGCTTATGGAACAGACTGCTTGGATCATCTTGGTGGATGATCTATACCAGGAACTAGACAGAAGGAGTCTCTTTGCTGGAACTTTTGACAGCTTTTGATTTAGTTGGCCGTGATCCCCTTCTGAAGTGGGGGTGGGAGGCACTGTGAGACGGTGGCTTTGGGCCTTCCTGGAGAGACTTCCAGAAGGTGGGACTCTTTCTGAAGGAAAGCTAGGATTGCTTCCCCTCAGCTGTCCTTCAGTCAGCAGGCAAAGAGTACTGGATTCAAGAGGGCCTTTGGCCTGTAAACAGGCCTTTTGGGTTTGGTGCTGTTTTCCATTTTTTATTCTCTAGTAGACTCTTTTTTACAGAATCACAGAATAGCAGGATTGGAAGGGGCCAGAAGGCCCTCAGATCCAACCCCCTGCTGTTGCAGGACACCAAGTTCAACCATCCCTCTCAGATGGCTGTCCACCTGCATCTTGAATGTCCCCAGTGTGGGAGGGCCCACAACCTCCCTAGGTAGCAGGTTCTATTGTTGTGCTGCTCTAACAGTCAGGGCATTTTTCCTGATATCTTGTCAGAATCTGGCTTGCTATAACTTGATCCCATTATGCCATGTCCTGCACTGTGGGATGATCAAGAAGAGATCCCGTCCTTCTTCGTGACAGCCTTTCAAGTACTTGTAGAGTGATATCGTATCTCCTCAGTCAGAGTTGCTGTACTTTAATTAATTTTATACTTCTAATCAACTTATGCCTGTAAGTCATCTTGGCCATCATTTGTTCGTAGAACAGTGGGGAACAAAGCAAATCATAACATTTTTTTAAAAATATACTCTCCCCCCCCATAGAAATTAATTCTGCCCATATTTAGAGACACCTCAATGGGCTTTTTGGAAGTGAAAAGCTACAGTGTTATAAAGGCCACATGCACCCCGGAGTAAAGTCCATCAGAGTCAGCTGTGCTTGCTTTGGGAGCAGGACCTCACTGCCCCTGTGATCTTCCGCAGTGCTTTTCTAATGTTTCTGACTGAAGACAGCGATTTTGGAAGGTAGCTTACTGATGTTTTTTGTGGTGATTTTTTTTGGTAATTGTTGTTTCTGTTCTAATCAATTCATGCTGTAAGTATTTGATAATACTTGACCTTTCAGATGACAAACTCAGGCTCAAGCTGTAAGCCTTGTGGAGCGCCTGCACGGTTGTCTCTCCTGCCTTGTCTGACAGGGAAGTGGGGGTGTGGGGGGGAGAGACACTGCCTCTTTAAGAGCAGCCTCTTTTGTATGCTGTGGCCGCAGCATGCTTGGCTCTGGGCTCCCGCACTTGTGTCCAACTGCAAAGCAAGGAAAAGGCGCTTCCCTTGTTTGGCTTCTCTGTTCCAGCAACCACACAATGGAGCCTTGTTGTGTCAGGAACTCTGATCTCTTTGCAAGAGGCTCAAGGCTGGCTGGGGCTTGGCATCTCACCCCAACTGTGGATCTGGGTTCCTAGAAGGACAGGGACCCCTCTCGAGCATGTGCACACAGGCTCTTCTCCCCACACTTTTTCAATACAGCAGTGAGTTTTGAGCTGCTGAAGAGCCTACCATGTTTTCTTCCCCTAGCTAGCTTGGTTGGCATTCATAATACAGCAGTGGGCAGAAGGTAGCTCTCCAGATGCCTTGGAACTCCAACTCCCAGAAGCCTTTGCCAGCATGGTCAAAATTCAGGAATGCTGGAATTTGAAGTTCAAAACATTTGGGGATCTACTTTCTGCCCGCCCCCTCCCTGATCGGTCACATGGCTCTTCCAGTGCCTGCAGATTGGTGCCGGTCATTGTCTCTCAATGTCAGCTGAACCTACCTTGCAGGTTTATTGTTCTAAGGTTAAAATCAGAGTAGAGGTGAACCTTGCAAGCTTCCTTGGGCTCCTCAAAAGGGGAAGAAAGGCACAATGTTACAATAACTAGAATGGTCAAATCTTTGCATGTACTTCTGATTCTGTCCTGGGTTTCCCTGTTTTCAGGCCAGCTGAATCATTTAAAATCCAAGCCTAGTTCAACCCAAGCCACTCCTAGCTGCCTGCAGTGACTAGAATGTGTTGGACAGAAGCATTGCTTGAATTCTTCCAGTGGTATTTGGAGAATGTTTTTCTCATGCTGCTAGCCTGAGATGTGAGAACTCACTGGAGTGCACAGATGTAGACCAGAGCCCTGGGGTGCACGGTCCCTTCTGGCTACCTTGATAGGCCTACTGCCTGCACTGCGTATGACAAACAGGGTGCTCAGTGCTACTCCTCCAAAGGCCCAGCCAATGCAGCCTTCCAAAGCACTTCTTGTAGAGCAGACATGTGCTGCATCTGCAGGTCCCTGGCCTATTTAGATACCCCCGCCAGCCCTGCCACTGCTACTGTACCTCCAAAAGGAGGCAAAGTCAACTTTTAAAAGCAAGAAGCTGTGGTTTGCTGCAGAATTTCAGTACTGCAATTGCTGCAAAAGGAAGCTATTTTAAAATACACACACACACACCCCTGGTCCAGCCTTTGCATCTTGTCTGTGGCTTTTCACTTCCAAAACGAATCTTTTTGCCCCTTCCATTGCTACCACTATACCACCAGATTTCAGTGACAAATTTGGGGACAGGGGGCAGTACCACCCCCCCACCAGCCCCTGGAAAGTGCTCCAAGATGGGGGGCTGTTCCAAAAGCTTGTAGTAGTAAAAGAGAAACTAGGCATGGTCTGCATGGGTTGCACGTGTCCTTTGTGACCTCCACTTCGTCGTCTCTGCACAGTCCTTTGCACATGCTGTAGTGCTGCATCTGCATGCCTTTCCCTGGGTAACGAAAACCAGATTCAGCCCCAGAGGACTACAGTGGGCTCATCACGGCCGCATGTGGAAGTGTGGCTCTGCAGCGCTTGCCCTCAGGCCTCATCTGATTCAGGAGCCAAAATTCACTCGGGTGGTGCTTGTGGTCCTTCACAGGAGCGAACTACCTGTTGCTGGCTGCCCTCTTCTGATGCCTTTGGTCAGATCAAGCCACAGCTGCCTCTCATACTTTCCTAGGGTCACGTTTTCAACAGGTGCACTGAAACAAGGCTTCCTAATACAGAGTCACGTTGTGGCTGAGCAAGAGGCAAGGAGGGAGGAGAAAACGGGCTTGTATACCTTTTTAAATGGCAACCTTGAAGGCACATTTTTGGTGGGTGCTGCTTCTCCCGCCGTTACAATTCCCTGGGGGAACAACCTTCGCATGCTGAAATTCTCCCCTCTCTGCAACTCCTGCATAAAGAGGCTCGCTGGAGTCATACTGAAACTGAACCTCTTCTGCCGACCAGGAGTGCTGAACAGCTCAAGTGATCTGTGCTTCATTTTCTGCAGTTACATTGGTCTTGCTAGTGAAATGGTTGCCTGTTTTTTAGATGGCCATTCCCTTCCTTTAAAATAATGCCTTCCCTGCTAGCTCTTGTTCCAGGCAGGATCTTATTTATACTATTAGCATTGTATTCTGAGCTAGTGATCTAACACAGGCCTCTGTAACCTAATATGCAAAATTCAGGGTTGCACTTCTGTGCTGGTGGGGTGGAAAGCAGCAGCGGTCTGAAGCAACTTGAAGCTATTTGTTACCAGAGCTAAGCAGATCTTGGCCTGTATAATGACAACCAGGGAGCCTCATGGAAGTCCCTCTCAATTTGCAAGGGGCCTGTTTTCTTTGGATCAGACAAATGGCCTCTCCAGCGTAGTGTTCTGTCTCCAGCAGTAGCCAGGCCAATGCTTTTGGGAAATGTTGATAACAAGTTCCATATAAAAGCATCAACCTAACAATGAAACAGCTAAAATAGGTCTGCTGGGTCCTGCTGTTTATAAAAAGCAGTACTGTCTATAAGGGCAACTGGTGTATCATAGTCTCCCCAGCCTGTGAAGAGAACATCATATCACATTACAGAACAGCTTTCCCCCAACCTGGAGCTGACTAGATAACACGGAACTACAACCCCTGCCATCCACCACCGGCCATGATGTCTTGGGCTGATTTCAGCTCTGGTCCCTACACAACTGGATGGCACCAGGCTGATGTAGGTCCACTCATTGTAAGTAACGCACACACTTCTTCACCCTGATAGTGCCCAGCGACCTGACTCCTGAGGAGTGCCAAGAGCTTGAGAACATCCGTCGGCGCAAGCAGGAACTGCTGGCAGACATACAGGTGTGTGGGCAGGGGGTGATGAGGCCGAGATACAGAAGGGCTGGAGCTCCGTGGCAGAGCACATATTCTGCCTGCATGAAGAAGGTTTGGCTCATGGTTCGGTCCTGGAAGGGGAGAGCCCTGCCTGAGAACTTGGAGAGCCATTGCTGCCAGCCAGAGTAGAAGCCATGCTGAGGCCGATGGACTGTGGTCTGAGGAAGCTTCCTGCTGAACATACCAAGTTATTGTCGCCATACTGGCGTTGGTGTATGTCTCATTGCTGCTACCAAAGGTGATACTCTCTGCCATGTCCAGGTTCCTCTCCCAGGGGAGGGTGGGTAGTTACTTCGGGGTCCGGTGCTGCCACTCTCCACCCACTGCTTCCTCCACTCGGTCCTGGGCCGTGACTGCAGCGATGCAGCTCAGCCCAGTAACTGCGCAGTAAGGGTGAAGGAGTGCCACTGAGCACAGGCAGACTTCCTGCACCTGTCCCCAGGTCACGGCAGCCGGTCCCAGATGCGTTGGTTAGGGCCACATGTGATTCTTTGTGGCAGCCTTTCTTTTGTTGGACGTGAAGCACAGTTTCTTCCTCCGCCCCTCCCTGAAAGGGCTTCTCTGCATGGCAGTCTTGAGGGTTTGCTTAGTGGGTCTCGAGCACACGTCACTGTAGATCAGCCAGCGAGGAGCCCGGTGCCTGACTGGTGCTGCAGCAGGGGTGCTGAGAGGAGGAATGGCCCGGGGGCCCAATTAGCCAGCAGGGGTTCCATGCTGACGGGAGGGGAGATCCTGCCTCTGGTCCTGTCACGGCGATACCCCTTGTGGACATGACAAGGACGGCGGGTGGGTGCAGGGTGCCTGTCTTCACGTCTGCCTCACTGAGCAGCCCCTGTGCAGCCCGCCACCCTCCATCCAGCCCATCCCCTCTGAGGCACGAGCAAACCATGCCAGATTTGCAGAGTTCTTCGAGCAGGGCTTTGGCAACATGCCCCCTCCTCACATTCGGCGCGCTGCATTGTCTGACAGCCAGTGCGACCTCTCCCTTGGCTCCAGCATGGGCTGCCTGCCCCCTGCAGCAACCTGCTTACGGGTGCTGCTCATCCATCCCATCAGCAATAAATAAGACAGCAGCAGACACTAATCGCTGCCATATGCTGGACACTTCCTAATGAGATTAGCCCATAATTGAGTTAGCCCCAAGGACTCACTCTTCCTCCTAGGGGAGCTCAAGACACTGATTCTTCCCATGGACTGGCACCCAGGCACTGTTTGTCTCTGAGCCTGGGTGGGCAGACATGCTTCTCTCTGTTCTCCATGCCCAGGGGAAGGAATGGGTACTTGTGGCAGGCTTTGGCTGTAACTGATCAGGAGTGAAACTGCAGAAGAAGGCATCCCCTTCACAGCGGGGAGAGGCCTAATGGTTAGATCTGTGGATAAAGCCCAGCCCTCAAATTCTTCTACATTTCTACCATGAAGACTCTTAGGTTTTGGTGACAGAGAGAGCTTGACCCAATCTGCCCTCCTCTCTCTCTGTCCCCCGCTCAACACCCACACACTGGCCCTGTGCCATCACTGATCATTCTCCAACCTGGATAAGGAAGCTGAGAAAGGGCATGAAGGTTAGATGAGGCTGGAAAAAGAGATTTTTCTTCATTCTGAAGTTATTTTAAAAATTATTTTGCAAATGTTATATCTCCCCACATTTATACCCATGCAGTTGACCACAAACTCTCTTGATCACTTTCTCCATTATTTTTCTGTTGCTCTTCTTTGTAGCGTCTGAAAGATGAGATAGCAGAAGTGACTAATGAAATTGAAAACCTGGGCTCCACCGAAGAGAGGTGAGTGGTGCTTCTGGTGGGAAGGATAGGGAAGGTGAAAATTGGAATTGGAAATTTGGATGTGGACATGCATGGATATTCAGGGTCAGATTTACCCACTGAAATGGAAATGCCCACTGCCTCTGGGAGGTCAGTGTCCTAACAGTAGTGCAAATAGCATTTAGTTCATGTGTATGAAGCTGCGCCCAAGCACACCCAAGTGTTCACAACAAACACAAAGCAAATCCCCCTTGCAATTAACCAGTAAAATTTCTGTTGACTGTAGTTTCCTTACGAATGAATCTCCCTTGGTGTAGATTCCATCGCACCTATTTGAGGCGGAAATGCCCCTCTGTCCTCTGTTGTGCAAAGCAGCACCTTTGCTTTTATTTAGGGCCTGAAGATGGTGCCGTCGGTCTCTCACGACCGCACCCGCTGTTGCTCATAATACCATCAAGCGATCCCTAGCCTCATCCGTTCTCCCAGTGGTTCAGGGTCTCCTCTTATTCTCATCTTGCCCATCAGCTATTCTAGGGCTTGCCTTATTCCCCATCTGCCGCCAGATTCCTTGTCTCAGGCTGTTACTATGAACTGAGACAATCGGAGTCAGTGACAGATTAGGCAGCCAGAATGGTCAATGGAAGCTGACACACGAAGTCTCTTCCAATCACTCAGGGCAGGTTCCTCTCCCGGCTCCCTGCGGAGGCCAGGTGCTTGCCGCGCAGGGTAACCTGGGAGGTGTTCGGCTCCTCAGATGCTCCACGTTCAGAGTATGGGGGAAAGGCCTTCCCACGAGTCAGCCCAGCTCCTGGACACAAGTTCTGTTTTACCGCTCGGGGGCATCTGGGTTTCATCCTCCTCAACTGGGTCTGAGACGTCTTACTGCTTGGAGTGAGGAATTGGTTCCGTGTGTTTCAAAGCGCAGGAGCTGCACGCAGGAGTGGCAGTTGTGTGTGCAGTGTGTCCTGTTGGGGGTGGCAAAGGAAAGGCTGAAGGTCTGATCTGCCTCGCATCTGTTGCTAAGTTGTATGCAAGGAGCCGCAAGCTGTTCTTTGGTGAGGGAGGCTCACTAAGTCTGTTGTGTCCTCCAGGAAAACCATGCAGAGAAACAAGCAGGTGGCGATGGGCAGGAAGAAGTTCAACATGGATCCAAAGAAGGTAATCAGTGGTGCCTCACTGTAGTGCTGGCAGGAGCCCCGGCTTTGCCACCTCCTGAGCTGGCCGTCGGCATCGGCATTACTCAACTGTGGATTTGAGTGGCTCTGTCTCGTGTGTATGGACTTGCTCTTTCTTCAGGGATTATTTGCTTCTGTTCCTCTGAGCAATTCCTTCCTGTTCAGGGGCTCTTGGAAAGCAAATGCCCAAGATCTGTAGTTCCCTATGCCAACTTAAGAGTCCTATGGCCAGGATATTTCTTTGCAGTACTTGAGCATGACATTAGGGTGATGGGCCAGTAGGCTTTGGGGTCATTCAGGTCTTAGGGCAACTTGTCTTGCCTTATGCTAGAAGCTTATTTATTTATTCAAACATTTGTATGCCATATATTGTGCCATAGCATCTCTATGCGGCTCACAATCAAGCAGTTGCAACCATTATAAAAACTAAAGCAGCAACTACCCCTGATCCAATAAATGCACTACATCATGAATACAAATAAAGGTCTAGTGGCAGCAAATGTTAAATTTTTTATTTTTTTTTTCCAAAAAAGGAAGGTCTTTGCCTGGTGCCAAAAGGAGTATAAGGAAGGTGCTAGGCGAACCTCCTTAGGGAGAGCATTCCAGATGTGAGGGGCAGCAGCAGAAAAGGCCCTCCTCCGAGGCCACCCCACTCACCTCCCTAAGGGATGGCTCACATAAGAGGGCCCCCTGCATTGATCTTAAAGGCCGGGCATGTATGGGTGTAGGCACTCCTTAAGGTTACGGAGGCCTAAGCCATTCAGGGCTTTATAGGTCAGGGCAAGCACCTTGAATTGGGCCCAGGCCACAACTGGTAACCAGTGTAGCTCTTTCAATATAGGTGTTGTATCGGCTCCTGTAGGGGCTCCCGTCGCCAACCGAGCAGCCCGATTCAGTACCAGTTGTAATGGCCGGACTGTCTTCAAGGGCAGCCCCACATAGAGCACATTGCAATAATCTATTCTGGATGTTACCAGTGCATGGGTAACTATTTTGAGGCTCTGTCTGTCCTGTGGGGCAAGATGTGGACTCATAGCCGCCGGTACGGTGGATAGAGTCCTTCAAAAGGTGTAGTGCAGTGGCCAAGACGTACGTCATGAGCCAAGAAGTTGCTGCTTCAGGTCCTGACCGCAGCACTCAGTAGTGCTGAGTGCGCCATATGGCGAGCCCCTGCTCTCGTGTTCCTCTCCTTGCTCCCCAGCTGCAGTGTGGACAGTCTCTAGGGGTATGTAGAGACAGCTGCGATTCAATATACAACCCACCCTGCCCATTTGAAACCTGTCGTGTCAAAGCTCAGTAGAATTTCAGGTGTTTCAGGTTGCCACGCCTGTGGCCCTCTCCAGAGGGAATCCAGAGAGATGCCCTCTCCTCTCTGTGCTTGCAGGGGATCCAGTTCTTGATAGAAAATGACCTCTTGAAGAATACATGTGATGACATCGCTCAGTTCCTCTACAAGGGAGAAGGGCTCAACAAGACTGCCATTGGTGACTACTTGGGCGAAAGGTAATTGCAAGGACGCTCCGGGGCTTTGCACGAGGCATTTGGCCTCTCACAGCAGCGGTGTTGCTGGACCTTGATTCCTGCTTTCCAGCAGCATGGAAGGGGGGCTCAGGACAAGGGGCATCTCTGGAGCTGACCGTGCAGGGCCGTCTTGCCAGGGCCGTGCAGTTTCAGGCTTCCCAAGTGGACTGCCTGGGCAGGAACTCATGGTCAAGACGTTTCACCATTCCTGGCCTTCTGGAGTGTTTTCTGCTGCTGCCCCAGCGATGCTCGCTTGTCCTGAGTGGGAGAAGAGCTAGAAATTGCAAAGGAGATGGGGAATATCTAGCAGCTTGGTTCTGCTGTTTTGCTCTTAGCCGGACAGAATTTGGCAACGCCGCCTGAAAAGTACCTCTTAGTCACCTGAAATACTTCCAGTTGTTTCTCAGGAATAGACACTCAGCTAGATTTACCCAACCTGGTGCCCTCCAGATGTGCTGAACTACAGCTTCCCTCAGCCCCAGCTAACAGGGGCATGGGCTGTACTGGCTGCTAATGATGGGAGTTGTATCCAATGAACCTGGAAGGTGCCCTGTTGGAGATGGCTACAAAAGCTGTATTGGAGGCCTCAGGGTATGCGAATCCAATCACTTTGCTTGGGATGCGGTCAGAATTGGGGGCAAAGCGTGTCTCGGCGCAGAGGGGATACTTCGCACGTAGGAACTCCTAGCTTTGTTCCCCTGCATCGCCAGAGAAAAGAAGCAGGCAACAGATGATGGGAAAGACCCCTGGAGAGGCACCAGGCACGGGGCAGCCCTGTGGGGCAAGATGTGGACTCAGAGGCAGGCTCCTGTGATCCAGGCGAGGTGCGGGGGAAGCGGGGAGGGAGCGCAGTCTTGGGTGGCAGCTGCACAGGGTGAATGGTGATGTGTCACAGACAGATGACTTGCTCCCATGTCTCACCCTGTTGTTCTTTTCCCTCTCCCTAGAGACGAGTTCAATATCCAGGTGCTGCACTCTTTTGTGGAGCTGCATGAATTTACTGACCTCAACCTTGTACAGGCCTTGCGGTGAGTGGCAGAGCTTGAGCCTTGCCTCCCCTACTGCCTCCTGCATCAGCAAACTTGCTTCTAGAGAGGCGAGGAGAGAATACGGGGAGCGGGCTGGCCCAGAACAGTCTACTGCATGAAGCGAAAGGCCTATTTCACACCCACACGCCACCCCTCCCATTGAGATGCACATGGTGGGCATGTCGTGAGCGGAGCCGGCTAGTGCCGGAGGTCAGACTAGATGGCCCGGGAGGCCCCTTCTGAGTCACTCTGCTTCTCTGTTTCTACTCCACTTAATGGAAGCCAACTGGGTGGGGGGCTGACCCTGTCTCCAACGCTGCTGACGGAGGATACAAGCCGGCACAGCGGAGGCCACAGGGCAGGCTGCCTGGCGCAAACCGCTCTGCCCTTTTGGCGCCTACTGCCCCTCTTTGCCCCCTCGCAGGATCATGGGGTGGTCTCTAGAGCTTCCCAGGGAAGACCAGGCCCAAATGACTGTGTGTCAGGAGGAGACCACGACTGGACGTTTCCACTACATTATGCAGCCTATCCAGAGAACAGTTTTCCTTGAGTGGCATTCCTGCTCGCAGCCTGGCACAGCTTTGTTTTTGTTGCCTCCACAGGCAGTTCCTTTGGAGCTTCCGGTTGCCGGGTGAAGCGCAGAAGATTGATAGGATGATGGAAGCTTTTGCCCAGCGGTATTGTCAATGCAACCCTGGTGTCTTCCAGTCAACAGGTCTGTGATTTTCCATCCTGCAGGCCGCAAGGGTTGAGGCAGCCCTTTCACTGGGGTGTGAAGGGAAAGACTTGCAATGGGGTCTCTTCCGGCTTCCACTGGTGGCTCTTCAGCCTGGTAGTTTTAGGGTGGAAAAGAGCTGACTGCCTCCAACTTCCCATCACCTGATGGGCTGCTTTATCCTCTTTCTGCTCTGTTCAGCTGGACTAACCTGCACATACCCGAAGGTGGTGAACAAACCAGGAAATACACAGCTTGCAGCATCAGACTTGATCATGTTTCCTGGGCTGCTACATATTTATAGAATCAACATCTCTGTGGTCACACAACATAAAGTTGTCTGAGCAGTTTACAATAAATAAATATTAAACAATTTAATCATGGATCACTGCCTTGTCGTGGCGAAGGGGCTTTTGTAGCTCAATGAAGCTATGAGCTATGCCGTGCAGGGCCACCCAAGACAGACAGGTCATAGCAGTGAGCTCTGATAAAACGTGATCCACTGGAGGAAGGAACCCACTCCAGTATCTTTGCCATGAAAACCCCATGGACAGTACCAAAAGGCAAAAAGATATGACGCCGGAAGATGAGCCCCTCAGGTCGGAAGGTGTCCAATATGCTACTGGGGAAGAGCGGAGGGCTAGTACTAGTAGCACCAGAAAGAATGAAGCGACTGGGTCAAAGCCGAAAGGACACTCAATTGCTGATGTATTTGGTGGTGAAAGGAGAGTCCGATGCTGCAAAGATCTGTGCTTCATAGGAACCTGGAATGTAAGATCCATGAATCAAGGCAAGCTGGATGTGGTCAGACAAGAGATGACAAGACTGAACATCAACATCTTAGGAATCAGTGAACTAAAATGGACAGGAATGGGTGAAGTTAATTCAGATGACCATCAGGTATGCTACTGTGGGCAAGAATCCCTCAGAAGAAATGGAGTAGCCTTCATAGTAGGAAAAGAGTAGGAAAAGCAGTACTGGGATACAATCTCCAAAATGACAAAATGATCTCAGTTTGAATCCAAGGCAAACCATTCAACATCACAATAGTCCAAGTCTATGCCCCAGCCACTGGTACTGAAGAGGCTGAAGTTGACCAGTTCTGTGAAGGCCTACAACACCTTCTAGAATTAACACCAAAAAATGATGTCCTTATCATCATGGGGGATTGGAATGCTAAAGTAGGAAGCCAAAAGATAACCAGAATAACAGGCAAGTTTGGCCTTGGAGTACAAAATGAAGCAGGGCACAGGCTGGTAGAATTTTGTCAAGAGAATACGATGGTCATAGCAAACACTCTTTTCCAACAACCCAAGAGACGACTCCACACATGGACCTCACCAGACGGTCAACACAGAAATCAGATTGACTATGTGCTCTGCAGCCAAAGATGGAGAAGCTCTATACAGTCAGTAAAAACTAGACCAGGAGCTGACTGTGGCTCAGATCATGAGCTTCTGGTTGCAAAGTTTAGGCTTAAGTTGAAGAAAGTAGGGAAAAGCACTAGGCCATTCAGGTATGACCTAAATCATATCCCTGATGAATATACAGTAGAGGTGACAAATAGATTTAAGGAATTAGATCTGATAGAGTGCCTGAAGAACTATGGACGGAGGTTCGCAACATTGTACAAGAGGCAGCAACTAAAACCATCCCAAAGAAAAAGAAATGCAAGAAAGCAAAATGGCTGTCTGAGGAAGCTTTACAAATAGCTGAGGAAAGAAGGGAAGCGAAAGGTAAGGGAGAAAGAGAAAGATACAAACAATTGAATGCAGAATTCCAGGGAATAGCTAGAAGAGATAAGAATGCCTTCTTAAATAAACAGTGCAAAGAAATAGAAGAAAATAGAATAGGGAGGACCAGAGATCTCTTCAAGAAAATTGGAGATATGAAGGGAACATTTCATGCAAAGATGGGCATGATAAAGGACCAAAATGTCAGGGACCTAACAGAGGCAGAAGAGATTAAGAAGAGGTGGCAAGATTACACAGATGAACTATACAAGAAAGAGCTTAACGTCCCTGATAACCACGATGGGGTGGTCACTGACCTTGAGCCAGACATCCTGGAATGTGAAGTCAAGTGGGCCTTAGGAGTCTGAGCAACAACAAAGCTAGTGGAGGTGACAGTATTCCAGCTGAGCTATTCAAAATCCTAAAAGACGATGCAGTAAAAGTGCTACACTCAATATGCCAGCAAATTTGGAAAACTCAACAGTGGCCACAGGATTGGAAAAGGTCAGTTTACATTCCGATCCCAAAGAAGGGCAATGCCAAAGAATGTTCAAATTACCGCACCATTGCACTCATTTCACATGCTAGCAAAGTTATGCTCAAATTTCTACAAGCTGGGCTCCAGCAGTATGTGGACCAAGAACTAACAGAAGTACAGGCAAGATTTCGAAGAGGGAGAGGAACTAGAGATCAAATTGCCAACATACGCTGTCTCATGGAGAAAGCTAGGGAGTTCCAGAAAACATCTACTTCTGCTTCATTGACTATGCTAAAGCCTTTGATTGTGTGGATCACAACAAATTGTGGCAAGTTCTTAAAGAGATGGGAGTACCAGACCATCTTATTTGTCTCTTGAGAAACCTATATGTGGGTCAAGAAGCAACAGTGAGAACTGGACACGGAACCACTGATTGGTTCAAAATTGAGAAAGGAGTTCGGCAAGGCTGTATACTGTCGCCCTGCCTATTTAACTTATATGCAGAGCACATCATGAGAAAGGCAGGGCTAGATGAATCACCAGTTGGAATTAAGATTCCTGGGAGAAATATCAACAGCCTCAGATATGCAGATGATACCACTCTCATGGCAGAAAGTGAAGAGGAACTAAAGAGCCTCTTGATGCGGATGAAGGAGGAGAGTGCAAAAGTTGGCTTGAAACTCAACATTAAGAAAACTAAGATCATGGCATCCGGTCCTCTCACTTCCTGGCAAATAGATGGGGAAGAAATGGAGGTAGTGACAGATTTTATTTTCCTGGGCTCCAAGATCACCGCAGACGGGGACTGCAGCCAAGAAATTAAAAGACACTTGCTCCTGGGCAGGAAAGCTATGGCAAATCTAGACAGCATACTAAAAAGCAGAGACATCACCCTGCCAACAAAAGTGTGTATAGTCAAGGCTATGGTTTTCCCAGTTGCAATGTATGGCTGTGAAAGCTGGAACATAAGGAAGGCTGAGCACTGAAGAACTGAGGCCTTTGAATTGTGCTGGAGGAGACTCCTGCGAGTCCCTTGGACTGCAAGGCGATCAAACCGGTCAGTCCTAGAGGAGATCAACCCCGAGTGCTCTTTAGAAAGCGAAATACTGAAGATGAAACTCAAATAGTTTCGCCACCTAATGAGAAGGAAGAACTCCCTGGAGAAGAACCTAATGCTGGGAACAATAGATGGCAAAAGAAAAGGGGACGGCAGAGGATGAGGTGGCTAGATGGAGTCACTGAGGCGGTTGGTGTGAGCTTAAGTGGACTCCGGGAGATGGTGGAGGACAGGAGGGCCTGGAGGAGTGTTGTCCATGGGGTTGCGATGAGTCAGACACGACTTCGTGACTAACAACAACAACAACAAATTTAAATGCAAATAAGACACATACAAATCAGAAACAGGATAAATACAACAGAAAAACAAAATCCACAGCAATCCTAGAGTTAAAACACAGTTTTTAAAACTGAGCAGCCCAGACAATATGAATTATTTCTAAAGGCTAGGTGAGCAGAAAGATGCAAGCATACCTCTCTGGGAGGCTGTTCCAGAGTAAGCTGCTGTCCTTACTCAGAAGCCCTCTCACATGCAGCCACCTGCCTTAATCCATCTCGCAGTGGCCACCTGGGGCTCGGCCGCTGGCAAGGCCTTCCATTTGGGGTAGGTGCATGCAGTCCTTCCGAGGACCTGGCCTTTGGCCTCCTCCCCGAGTCCAGCGTGGAGGCCAAGCAGCACCCGCGTGCCATGCCTCATCCCTCCCTGCATCCCTTCCCACTCCAGATACCTGCTATGTGCTCTCCTTCGCCATCATCATGCTGAACACCAGCCTGCACAACCCCAATGTCAAGGACAAGCCAACAGTGGAGCGCTTCATCGCCATGAACCGTGGCATCAATGATGGCGGGGACCTGCCTGAGGAGCTGCTCAGGGTAGGCCTTGTGGGAAGGGAGCGGAGTTAAGCGTGGACATGCGCCCTCTTTCTCTACCAGCAGCCCTCTGGGGTGACAGAAGCCATGGGATCCGAGTTCCTGCAGTACTGCAGTTGCAGGAAACCTGTCTCACCACGGGGGGGGGGGGGTCAGTTTTGGAGATGTTCTCAGGCCTGCAGTCTGCAAGTGGTGGGCAGAGCCAGAGGCAAAGGCACAGAACCGAAATGCAGAAGTCTGCCAGCATGTATTTGGTTAAAGGAGAGGCATGCCAGCCTCTTCACATGAGGGAAACTGCGTGGAAGCCTGGGGACCCTCAAAAAGGGTCAGAGGTAGTGGGGCAGGGCACGCCCAGAAAGTGGGGAGTGGCCACCTGGGCAGCCCCAGAGGGCTTGGTCTTACCCCAGGCCTGAAGGTTCCCTGTGCCTGCAGGTAGTGGGTCACAAGACTAGCATGTGGTGCCTTGTGCCCAGCAGCACCCTTGCTCCCTGGAAGGAGGACCGGGGGCACCAGTGAGCAACGTGGAAGACCAGAATTATTTAATGGGGGGAAAAGGGGTAGGGGAGGAAAGAAGTACAAAAATTCAAATGAATAAACTGTATTTCCTTGCTTGTTTGTCCGTTTTGCTCGTCACATTTCTCTTCTGCCTAATAGCTGAAGTGCTCTGGGCAGGACTGGACATACTGGGCAATCAAAATACAATACAAAAATGCAAAGCTACAGTATAAAATGAGGATGATGAGGATAATGAAAATGAGCCTAGCAACAGGACAAGATGTAAAATACAGCACAAGGTTTAAAAGTGGGACTGAAACCTGCAGTGCCTGGGAAAGGCGGGCAGCCTGGCTGTGGGAAGCTCCCCGCACCGCTGGGGTGCCACCGCGGAGAAGGAGGCCACCTTTGTCACCAGCGGCCCTTCTCTCTTGGCAGAGGCTCCCGGGAAGGACAGCTGCGGATGAGCGTAGGTTCTGGGCAGTGCCTGACTCCCTCTGGGGGGCCACCAGGAGGGCGTGGAGCGCAGTAGTGCCGTAGTCCACCAGGGCAGGGTTGTTTGTTAAGCCCGGTCCCTGGCCGTGCAGGTCCGGGTGCAGGGGTGGCCGTGCAAGGGCTCAGGCAGTGTCTCTTGGTTCGGGAGCTGCTGAGGTCTCGCTGCTGTGTGGAGGGCGGAGGGCAGCGGCAGAGCGGAGCAGCCCCTCTCGGTCCAGGTTTTGCAGCTTCCTCGAGACTGCTGCTTCTCCATGTCCCTCCCTGTTCACCGTCTCCTCAGCATCCTTCTTCAGAACCCCTCTCCCTTGAGAGGCTCCACAGCGGCTCCCCCTCCTCAGGGGTTGGCTGCTGGATGCTCCTCCGGAGGGCTACGCTTGCGCAGGGTGACACTCAGATCTGGGTTGTGAGAGGGACCAGGTGGGGCAGAGGAAGCTGCCTGTCTGTTCGCCTGGCCCACTGCAGTCTTTCTGACTGGCAGAAGCCATCCAGGGTCTTAGACAGAGACCTGTCTCAGCATCTGAAACCAGATCCTTCTGATGGGAGATGCCAGTGATTCCCAGCCCTGTGCTCTCCTGCTCTGCCGTAGCCGCTTCCCCACTTAATCACGCTTTCAGAGAATCAGGAACTGGACATGCAGAGGCAGCTGTGCAGGTCACTGCTGTTGAAGTGATGCCTGGTGTGTTTCTCTTCCCTCTGTCAGAATCTCTACGACAGCATAAAAAACGAGCCTTTCAAAATTCCCGAGGATGATGGCAACGACCTGACCCATACCTTCTTCAACCCAGACCGGGAAGGCTGGCTCCTGAAGCTTGGTGAGTGCTTCCAGGCAAGGCATTGTCTGAGCCACGGGGGACGGGGCCTGCGTCTCTGCCCCGGTGTGGGTCGCTGCAGGGAGCACGGAGCTCGGCGGCACCGGCCTGGCCACTTCTCTGTCTGGGGCTCGGTGATCCCAGGCCAGCACGGAGCTCTTCCCGCAGAAGTTGGAGACGCCTCAACCCTGCTTGTGAGCAAGCACGTCCTGCACGGCGGGTCTTGGCTGCGGTGCTCGGAAAGTTTCCGTGGTTCTCAGTCACCTGTGAGAGACCAGCCAGTTCTTGTTGTGATTCGGGGGAAGGACAGATGTATGCAGGGGAGAGGTGGGTTTTGCGGGTGCCAGGAGCAGCAGGCCAAGTGGGGTTCCCTTTCCCCGGTCCTTTGCCACAACAGTCCAAGCAGAAGCTCCAGACTTGCCTCCGGTGCCGCGCTTCTCACCTCCACATTGCAGGCTGGTCCCTGGCGTCGCCTCAACGCATCCTGGCTGTGCGCGGACTGGCAGTGCATGCATGGCCTCGGCGAGGCATCCACCAGCCCCTGCGCAGCAGCTGGTCACCCTCCTCCCACTCCCTCAGTATTGTCATTTGACTTGCCCAGGATTTGGCTGGATCAAGCTCCCCGGCTGGTTTGGGTTCTCCTGTTGGGGCTCTTAAATCCCTTGGAATCTGCCAATCAAATCTGAAAACTCAAATCCTCTGAATCTTCCAGTTTGCAGTCACTGGATCATTATTGAAATGCAGCTAATGGAAGTGTTCGTCTGTGAATGTGGCCTTTCTTATTATGATTTAAGCTTCTTATGACTTAAGCTACAATCAAATGCTTTTGATTCCAAGGGAGTGAGGAAAAATGCACCTCCCCTGCAGTTCTAAAGAATGAGACTCAGTCCCAGGTTTGAATCTTCACCCTTTGCATCCCACTCCTTCTGTTCCTTTCAACCAAGGCCATGCAAGGAATGACAACGGATCTCTACATAGTGTTGTAAGAAAAGTAGCCGAGGTTGCAGAGTGCTACAATGGCCACACAGAGCTAAGGTTGCTCACTCAGCAGGCTTGAGGCTGGGCTACTGGAGTGTACCATTCAGAACATGGAAATGAGAATATTTTAACACTTTTCTATTTAGATGTGTGCATCAGCAGCAAATACATCATTAGTGGAAAATATACTGCATATCACTGCAGCGCTCTCTAGCAAAATGTTGCTGAGCTTGCAGTGAACTTCTCCCAATTCTGTGTGACAATAGTAGGGAAACTGTGGCCCTCCGGATTACATTGGGATCCAATTCCCATCAGCCTCAGCCAGCGTAGTCAATATTTGAGGCAATGGAAGTTGTTTACCATTCTTGCACAGAATCATGGGAGTTGCAGTCTAACACATCTCAATAGTAACAGGCTGGGGAAGGAGGGATCCAGCCAATCACATCTCCAGTTACCACTTAGTCTTTAAATCTGGCTAAGCGAGAGGATGCGCTAGAGAGAGCATAGCTAGAGTAAAGCCAAGGTGACTGCCAAAACGGATCTACTGGTCAACATGTATCGTAGCTGGCAGTGACTTTCAACCTTTGTGGCAGTGGCAGTGTGTACTCTCAGTGTAGAAGATCCTCATGATCTGGTAAAATGATGCCTGATTGGAACAAAAAGGAACGAGGATTTGGAAGTGAGATTCAAACTCCAGTCCTGTTGCTGGGGAGATATTCCCCATGTCTGAGCTGGTGCCTGGAGAATATCTGTCTTAAATGCAAAGGCGTGTAATTACATTTCACATTGTGTGAGATCCTCCCTTTTATAAAATGGTGACTCAAATCCTGTAGATGCTACGGCAGAGTCCAAACACTGTCACAAAAGCCCAGCACAACCTCCTAACTTGGGCACTCTTTCTGTGGCAAACTCTCCTCAGTGGAAGAGAGTGGTCATAACAGCAGCCCTGAATAATTTTCTTGAGAGATGTGTAAGTTCCTTCTGGCTGCACCCACCTTACGTCCCACTTAGACTAGATCCATTAGAATGAATAGGACTTAATTAACTCTGGCTACAAGCCTCTAGTCAGATGAGACTGCTTGGGCTGGGAATCATTCTGGACTGAAGCTTTGTCCCACTTCTTCGTGTGTGCCGGCTAGTGGAGAAGGGGTCCGGGCTGTCCCCTGGCTGAATCCTTTTGCACTCGATGATGCATGCCTCCCCCTCCAGGTGTCCTGGCTGCAGACCATCTTAACCACCACCACCTGCCTTGGCACTAAAATCACTAATTCCGCCCAGACCGCCATTTCTATGGCAAACTTGTTGACGAACCTGCTGGGGTTTCCCCAGGTGGGAAGAGGGTGCGCTTCCCTGCTAGGAAGCCCCAGAGGCCACTGCATTCTTGGCCTTTGCACGCGAGTGACCCCTCGAGCTGCAGAGCGGGCACAGTCCTTGTCGGCCTTCTAGTGAGTTCCCTCCAACCGAGTGCTCTCCAGATGTGCTGGACTGGAACTCCCATCATTCCCAACCAGCATGGCCATTGGCCATCTGGAGGACACCAGGTTGGGGAAGACTGTTTTAGTGGAAGGGGCAACCTCACTCCTGCCAGCAGAGATGTTGCCCTGGCTTTGAAGACAAGGCCTTCCTCAAACCTTTCCCTTACCGCTCAGACCTTTTAGCTTGGGCATTGCCCCCTGCTGACTGCAACTGGGGTGCGCACCAGGGCAAAAATTTTAAAGTCTTTTGTTTTTTAATTTTCTTTTCTCCCTCATTTTGTATGTTTCCATGATTTTGGCTCTGCCTTTCCCTGCCCCCCAAACTCCAGGAGGTACGTACCCCCATATCCCCTTGCTAGCTTTGCTTGGGACCAGGGGTGTGCTGCAGTGCTTGTCTTATTTTTCTGTTCTCTCTTTATTTTTAATTGCTGGTGATATTAGTCTTATTGCTGCTGCTGCCGCCTCCATTGCTAATTGGCTGCTCAGTCCCTGGGGAACTGGGGGAGAGGTGGGATGGTGGGTGCGGGGAGGAAGAGCACCTGTGTTCTGTGTGGCCCCCCACAAACAAGCGGAAGCTCAAGACCTTCCCAGTGCTGCGGTTGGATCTGGCTGCTGCCCTCTCGCCAGAATTTTACAACCCACACTTGCATTCTGGGGCATTTTCCTTTGGGTTTGCCTTGGGACACAGCCATGAAGAACTCAGGTTCAGTCCCTGATGTGAGGCAGCTGCTCTCAAAGGGCTATCAGGTGTGATGCCCTGGACTGAAAAAGCAGTGTAGCTACACCTCCCTGGAAATTTACCAGGTCAGGTGGTGAATTTGAGTTTCACTCGCTATTCCCAAGAAAGAAAGGCCAGGTAGGGTAGGTGGTGCTTCAGAGCACCTTCCTGTAGGCCCAAGAGGCCCTTTCTAGATGTTCAGTGCTGGTGATTGCGCAGCCGTCCTTGTACCATTCAGAGCCCGAAGCTTCTTTGCAAGGAGAACAGCCCTTGACTAGCCAGCCCTGCGACAGCCTCTGTGCCTCAGCAGGCGCAAACATCAAAGGTGCCTGGCTATGCGGGTGAGGGTGCCCGTGCCAACAGGGCAAGCATGGATCGGATGCTCCCCTTCATGATGCTGCAGGCATGCTGTAAGTGCCCTTCTCCCCCATCGCACCTGCACAGCCTTGGATGCCCCACCAGTTATTCCAGGACTCCTCCCCAGACTTGCTTCCTTCCAAGGCTGCATGCTTCACCCCTTGTTCCCATGCTTTAGCACATGCCCCCTGTGGCGGAAAGATCTCCTCCTGGCATCAAGACCAGCCTTCTCTCCATCCATTACACAGGAAAAGCTAGTATTAAGGGGTTATGGTCAGGAGGAAGGAGCTTATTGCATTTTAAAAAAAGAAAATCCCAACAGAGGATGTACAAGGCGAAGTTTAAAATACAGAAGCCAATTAGTAACATAAGACCTTCATCTGGAATGGCCCCAAAAATTCCCAGCCAGCAGAACAAAGGTGCTGCCTGTATAACAAAGACTAAATATGATTTTAATCCTGTGTATAGGGGTGCATGTCAGTAGTTGCCTACTGCCCTGATCCTGGCTGCTAAAGGGAAGTGCCCTGCTTATGTGTGAGCTGGATCCCAGAGAGCAGGGGTGGCACCTAGTCAAAATGTGCAACCAATTGTGAGCTGATAAAAGAATCATGGTGTCATGGTTATGATTCTTATCAATCCCTTTAGATAATGCTGTAAATCCTTCCACGATCCTTATCCCTTTGAGCTCTGCAACCCTGTGTAGTAGGTCATGCTCCCAGTTTACAGACAGGTAACAGACAGAGGCACACACCTGCTGATTCCTTGGCTGAAGAGAGGAGAACTTTCTGTGTCTTCCACTAGCAGCCACTGTCTTAAAAACAAATGTTAATTTACTTACTGTGGTGTTGTACTGTAAACTGCAGCTATGTTTCCAAGGATTTCTTAGCAATCAGAAGGGCTTAGAATAAATGTTTAATCAGCAGAAAGTCTTGTGGCTTTTTTCTTCCTGGAGTCTCCGGGACATTAAAATATATATCGTAATAATTATCTTGTATACTCTTGGCTTGTCATTTTAATGCCATTTTCTTGTGGCTGAGGAAGAAAAGTTGTGTAATGCTGAAAGCCTACATCCTCAGCTTCTAAACAGGAAAGAAAATTGGAGCACTCCAAAATAACAGAGTTTCTGGAATACTGGCAACCAGTTTGAGAGATTTATATTCATGTCCACTTGGTGATATAGTAGATGGGTGTGCCTGAAGCAAATGGCTAGTATTCTACATCCCTGTAATTGATAACCTAGTCTCTTAATTTTGTTTACATGTTCTGAAATAACCAAAGTTGTCTTTAAAATTGGTAAACTGAAATCAACAGCTTCACTGTGGGATTCCTTAATGCTTGTGAGGAAGGCCAAACCCTTGTTCACACTCAGCTCCTGAAGCTGCAGTTTGAGTCGAGCACATGACGTATGATGCCCCTGCCCTGGTTATCTTTCCCTGCTATTGATCTTCTGATCTGACGTTGAAATGCCTTGGTCAGTAAAATTCCCACCAGCTTTCCGACTTGCACCCCGGTTTGACTCGGTCTGTACTGGCCCTGTGTTGAAGGTGGCTCCCCCAGTACTCCCTAATCACTATTTTGCCATGTGCTCCTTGGGCAGGAATTTGCCTTCTACCAGGCCAGGTGGGTTTGTCTCGCTAACCTGGTATTATCTACCCTGCCGGGCAGCAGTTTTCTGGTGCCTCAGGCAGAGGTCTTCCTCACCATCAGCTCCTTGATCCTTCTGGCTGGGGATCCCCGGGGCTGGATTTAGGAGCTTTTTCTCCACTTCCAGGCTGTGGTCTTGTGCTGTTCCCTCCCTCCCTCCCTCCCTCCTGAGTTGTGGCAAAATGGGTCATCCCAAGGTCTCTGGGCATGCAGTAGGTTGGGGTTCCTTTGTTCCCTGGGGACTGTGGCAGGCACTATCTGGAGCAATTGGCTGTTTTTGTTTCGTTTGTTCTTGCTTTTTAATTTTTATTCTTACGTTGCTGAATGAGGCCTCATTGTTGTCTGTGCCTGTGTGTGGCTGTCAGGGCCTCCTGGGCGGGTCTCTAGGTTTGTGCATCTTTTAAATGGTTGTTGGCTCCTCTCTCTTTCCTGGGCTTGAAGGAGTAGCCAGCACTGAGAGATGATTCCCTCCCCCTGCCTCCCCAGTGGCTTTTCAGCTTGGCCTGCCCACCTTGCACCTCCTGCCTCTCCGGTGCCCAGGTGATCTGTGTGGTGTAGCCTTTGAGTGGGGAAGGGCAGCTAAAGGAAGACTCCCAGCCTAGGATCATGGAATCAGAACAGTAGGGTTGGAAGGGGCCAAAAGGCCCTCGGGTCCAACCCCCTGCTGGTGCGGGTCACTAAGTCACCCCGTCAATGTCTTGTGCTTTAGACAGTGGGGTTAGGCAACGTTGGCTGTAGCTTTGTCTGTCTGCTACATTAGTAGCCTGCCTTTTATTCCAAGGAGCCCTCCTCTGTTTTATCTTCACAACAACAACCCTGTGAGTCAGGTGAGGCTGAGACTGGCCCAAAGTCACACATGAGTTTTGTGGCTGAGTGGGGACTAGAACCTGCCTGTTGACATCCTCTTGATTCATTCTGATAAGCCTCTTGGCTGGGCATCGTGTCAACTTTAGTGTTAAGTTGTGAAATATATTACATATAAGAGAGTGAGGTAGTGCTCCTTCATGGGTGCCAATGGCAAGCCAGCTCCTTCCCACCCAACCAGAGTCCTTCCTTGGAAAAAAAGCTTGACCAGATAGTTTGGGGCTTGTATGTCTTTGGCTCCCTTCCTTTTACCTGTGTAGAAAACTTCTTTTCCCATATCTGGAGACCCTGCTCAAAACCTGCACTGAGCACCATGGAGAAGCTATTCCTGTCCTATCAGGATTCATCCCTCTTAGTCCTGGGGCTGTTGCGTAGCCCTTCGTGTTGCCTAGAATAGTGTGAAGGCAGGCAGCTTCTGGCAGCCAGAACCTAGGACCAAAAATCCAGTCAAACTCTGGTTGAGGGAAGAAAAGCACTTAGCTGGCAACTGGCTTTCAGACTGTGGGCGGGGGGTGGGGGGATTCTCAGTAGAGCAGGTGATTCCAAGGAGCTGGCGAAGAAGCAGGATACCAGGTTGGAGGCAGCCTGGGGCCAGATGGAAGCGGGGCCAGAAGGAAAGTTCTAATCGCACATAATGCTTGATAGGTTTCATTCTTCTAGTGTAGGCACACAGGGACCGATTCAGACTGGAACCAAGGAGTTCCAGGTGGGGGCAGCTTGAAATTCCCCGCTTGTTTTCCTTCCCAAATCCACCCCAATCCTACCCCTCTTCAGGGTTCAAAATGAGAAAAAATGTATCCATTGATCCCAGGGGAAGGTTGTTCTTCTTTTAATGCTTCCCACGTGCGTGAGAGAGAGAGAGATTTGGAGAAGTACAAAGCGGAGCATCATATTTAGTTTGGCTCTCAGATACCTTTGCAGGTGGACCTGAAGTCTATCCAAGCATGCGGCAGACACAGGTCTGCTCAGTGCTCTGTGACGGAGCCCTCCCCGCCCCACACACTGCACCTGCTCGGTTGTGCTCGCGCCCTGGCCCCCTGCTCTTGCGGGGCTGGCTCTGCTTGCGCCCCTGACACTGCTCGGCCCGATGCTGCCTCTTCGTGCCCATAGGCTCTAGCTCTGCCTTTGCCGCTGCCGCTCTTGTGCCCACGGCCGGCCCTTAGGTGTGGGCAAGCGTCGTCTAGCTTGCTTCTTCGTTGTGCAGGTGGCCGGGTGAAGACTTGGAAGAGGCGCTGGTTCATCTTGACAGACAACTGCCTTTACTACTTCGAGTACACCACGGTGAGTGGCACGGGGTGTTCTTGCGACTGTGCGTGTCTTTCAGTCAGTGTGCTGCTTCAAAGGAGGGCCTACAGCAGAGCGGGGGGAGAAGGTCCATCTCCGTGTTTTTTCAGCTGCCAACTCCCAGCTTGCCACCCTGGCAGGGACTTTTGGGAGCTGATGTCCAAAACATCTGAACACCGTTTGCCTACCCCTGGACTGGAGTGTGTTGCCTTATTTACGAAAAAAACCCCAGAGCAGCTTATTTGGAGTAGGATGAAGGGCTGAGCTCCCTGTGCTGAAAGTAGGAGGCTGTATGAGGGAACAGCAGCGCATGAATCTGATGGAAAGCACTCAGCTGTGGACCCATGAATGCTTATGCCCCAGGAAAAGAATAAATCCATCAGTCTTGAGAGTTCCACAGGGAACCTCGTTGTGCTAAGTGCCATAGACTAACAGGGCCACCTCTTGGAAATAGCCATTAAAGATGGATCCGTCCGAGAAAGGAAATCTTCCCATCCTTCTAACTGTGCAGTGGAGAAGCATGCAGTGTTTGTTGGAATGAACAGGCCCAGTCACTGCTGAATTTACAAGTGGTCATTTTGCAGGACAAGGAACCACGAGGCATTATTCCACTGGAGAATCTGAGCATCCGTGAGGTGGAGGATTCTAAGAAGCCGGTGAGCAAGTGCTGAACCCCAAAATCATTCTAACTTGATGGCAAGAAAACCAATCCTGCATATACTATATAGTTTTTTTAATAAGTAAGAAAGAGAACTCACAGGTGTCAAAAAAAAAGCAGAATTATGCAAATAACTAAGCAGGCTCATTCACTCGGTAACGTGGTCCAGGCAAATAAGTGAGACTTAGCCACGCCTTGCCCAAATATTGTTTAAGCTTACTTTTGCTGCCCTGAAGCTGATAAACAATATTTGTTTAAAGGAATGCCCAGTTGCTCAGGATGCCACTGAAATGTGCACAAAATACTCTCTTTGTGTGTGGATGCAGCACATACACTGTCCTTTCCAGATCTCCAGGTGTTTGGGAATTGTGTTGTATCTAAGCAGGGATAAATGTTATATTAGCATTGGCCACATTCAAATAGTTTTATCAGCCAAAAGATGAATTAAGTTCTGCCTGCACATATGCAGCTCCTTTGCTTATACCATTGAGAGGAGCAATCAAACCATGATGCTACTAAGCATAGTTTCCCATTTCAGTCATGTAAGGAAACTATGGTTACAAGCTTTGGAACAAGCTAGGCTGTTCAGTCAACTTCAAACCATGTTTCCATAGTCTGGCTTGTCCAAAGTTGGAAACCGTAGCTTTCCAGTTCAGATGTAGGAGAAGCTATGAGTAACTGAAAGCTTCTTGGCGTTGTGTGCTTCGCAGAGTCCTAGGGAATTGTGTACTTGCTACAGAAGTCCTTCAGGAGAGCTTGCCCTATCTTGGACACCTTTGGAATTCATGTCCCTTTGACATAGCGGTGGCCAACCACCCTCTTCATCTTGTTCTTTTTTGCAGAACTGCTTTGAACTATATATTCCTGATAACAAGGACCAGGTGATCAAGGCGTGTAAGACAGAGGCAGATGGGCGTGTGGTCGAAGGGAACCACACTGTGTACCGTATCTCTGCGCCCACCCCAGAGGAGAAGGAAGAGTGGATTAAGTGCATCAAGTGAGCAAGGAGACAGTGGGTGTGGGGTGGTGGGCATGAAAGGGAGGAATGGCGGAGCTCTGCGAATCGGCAAGGGGTAGAGCAGGCTGGCTGGATGCAGCAGGCGAATGAGTGCCTCGCCTCCTTGCCTGTCTCTCCTTTCTGCCTGTGGCTGGGGAAAGAAGCAGCTGGAGTTTGTGCAGCAGGGACAGCCGGTCAGAATAGGGCCCCTGCCTGCCTTCCTTGGTTGCCAGTGGGCGTTTGGAATGTGGGACTCTACTCAAATGAAGGGGAAAATAGTATGGTGGCCCATAATGAAATCCACTGTTCCCACCCCCTCATTGCTCCTTCCCCTTTTTAGTTAAATCATGTATATCTGTAACCTGAGACAAGAGCTAATTTATTTTATTACATTTATATTCTGCCTTTTTTTCTTCAAGGAACTTAGAACAGTTTACATAATCACCCCTGCAACCTTATTCTAGCAACAACACTGCGAAGTAGTTTAGGTTGAGAGTCAGTGACTGGCCTGAAGTCACCCAGTGAGCTTTGCGGTGACTAGAACCCAGATCCCTTGGATTCCAGTCCAGCACTCTAACCACTACATTATGCTGGCTTTCAGTGAGGTTGCCTAACGGGGTTTCTCTACTCTGGCCTCCAATAACTGGAGGACTGCTGGCTGGAGAGCATCTCTGATCGCTTTGGGATCCCTCCGATTGCTTTTCTTTCCCTGCATTCACCTGCTTTCTCTCTCCTTTCAGAGCTGCAATTAGCCGGGACCCCTTCTATGAGATGCTCGCTGCACGCAAGAAGAAAGTCTCCTCCACCAAGAGGCATTAGTCACCAGACTGAATTGAACTGCAGCGACTTTGGCAGGAGATGCTTCTCCGTTCCCTGGCAGACTGCACAGGACTGCCTGCTCTGTGTTGACACCCTTGAAGGGACTAGCTTCAGCTTTTGCTATTTTCTGGTTTGGGGGCAGGAAGAGTGCAGGGAGGGCCTGTGTGGATGGCAGCCACCCACTCTCCATGGCTTCTTCTTTGCAGAAAGGGCACCCTTCCTTCCTACCAGACGAGTGTCAGGGCCGCTTGCGGCAGGAGGAGAAGGATGTTGGGGTCACTTTTGCTACCACGGCTGACTTGTTCATTGCCTTAGTTAGTGGGGAGCTGGAGAGCATCATGCACTCTGCACTTCAGAGAGGCACAGGCCTGTTCAAGCTGCCACGGGCAAGTGTGAGCTGCACCAGGCTTTCGGCTGACCCTTCCTGAGACCCAGGAGCAGGGTGCACCACAGACTGCCAAAAGCATAGCTTAGGCTGCAGCTAGATGGGGGCAAGTTTCTCTGGCTCCAAGCGTGGAGAGTCCTGCGTCACTCTGCAGGGTTGCTCCCCAGTATTATTTGCTCAAGCAAGCCCAGCAGCTTCTGTCCCCGGAGCAGTTGGGCCATAAGCTCTGTTGTGTTTAATTTCTGGGCTTCTCTTCAGCAGTGAATTTGATCAGGCATGTTGGATGATGAGCAACCAAGCACCTCATCCCCAAGCGTGGACGTGGGCGGATGAAGTAAGGCTGCCACTTCCAGGATTTTCATTGCTCTTGTTCTAGAGGGCACCTATTTAGGCTGTATCGGATGCAGTGTCAGGATGAGGCCAGCAGCGGGCTCCCATACGCCCCTGTGCCATCAGGAGGAGGCAGAGCTGTGGTGAGCCAGCCAGGCATGCAAGCACTGGGGGGTGGGGGTGGCACAACCCTTGTTTGGCACAACAGGCAGCTTTGAAGGGAATGGCTGGGAAACTGGCCCCCACAGCGGCTGCATGCGATCCGATCCCTGCAGCTGGAGCTCTCCTCTCCTTCAGTTTCATGTTAATGTCGCAATTTGATGGCTCAGGAATGAGCATAACCCGCAAGAGGAAAAGACCGGTGGTATCCCCTGCTGGGCTGCAGAAAGCAGCTTGGGGGCTTTTCCCTTGGAGCACCTGGCTCTGGATCCCATAACACAGCCTGCCTGTGGCAGTTGCACTTTTCAGCAGGGGTGGGTTCAGGTGGCTTAGGCTAGTGGCTACCCTGGACTTGCAGGAGGCAGTCCTCGGCTCAGAAGCACAAGCAAGTGGTTGGCTGTTGGGGAACCACAGGGAGCCCAGTGGGGCGGTGGTGGAGGCGAGGGTCTGGCGGGGCGGGGGGGGGGGCAAGCCTGCGCCTATGATGGGGAGGAGAAGGGTCAAGCCATAAGAAGACTGCCTTCCCTGGTAAAGGACTATGGTGCCGTTGGCTCATCATGCACCTTGGCAAGCTCCAGTATTAGTCTATTTATCTGAGATGTACATACTCTCTGTATAGATTTTTCTCTTTTTAGATTATTTTGTATTTGTTTTAAATAAGAAGATTGGTTTTTGTGAAACTTAACGGGATTCTCCAGCACAGCTGTGGCATAAGGGGGAGAAGCAAGGGCAAGGTGGGAGGAGGGTGGATGTGACACCCGGTCGAACTGTTTGATTACAGTTTTGCTTTGGTTCCTTTTTCTTTCCTAGAGGGTTTTTTGTTTTTGTTTTGCCACAACCTTGTGATCTAGCACAGAGCAACTGCAGCAAATAAATGTTGATCTCACCCTTGGCGTGATGCCTGTCTCTGACTGCCTCTGCCCTTCTAGTCTACAGTTCAGTGAATCTCCTCTTTGGGGGATAATATTGCATCCAGCAGGCAGGGCCTTCCTGGCTGAGAGCGAGGCCAATGACCGGCGGGCCTGGGCAGCCTCTTTGGGTCTGCAGTACCACAGAACAAAGTGGCACAGGAGGGTTGCCACTGAGGCAGGTTTCTGCTGTGCTCCGGCATTATCACCTGCTCTACTGAGGATCTACGCCTCCCCACACCCCTGGGTGGGATTGGTTTGAATGCAGCCTTCCCCAACCAGGAGCCCTCTGGATGTGTGGGCTGCATTTCCCAGAATCCCCTTGCCAGCCATGGATCTCATGATTCTATTATGTTTGTGCCTGCCCCTTCCTTGCACAGTTTTGTATAGTTTAACTTCCTTTGTTCCACGTGTTTTTGCTTTTATGAGTTGTACCTGGTGCCCTCCAAGCATGGGGTATACCCATCAGTTGTACTCCTGGATGAGTATATATTTGACCCATATGTAGCAATATATGGGGGACATGGGTGGTGCAATGGTTTAAACCATTGAGCTGCTGGGCTTGTCAATCGAAAGGGTGACAGATCGGTGTGACAGGGTGATCTCCCAATGCTTTGTCCCAGCTCCTGCAAACGTAGCAGTTTGAAAACATGCAA